TGTTTGGTAGAGCTAATAGATTATTTTAAGCTACAAATGAGTTATGAGCTTTATTTAGTAAAACATAAGACTTATTAAAATAATAGCTTATTTGAACTGTGTTTCAAAATATGCTCATGATTTTTTAACTTTTTCCCTTTCGTTTTATCTTTATTAATTTACAAAAATGACACAATCTACCCTTCATTAATCAAAATATTAATATCTTAGTTTATCATTTTTATGTCTTTTACACTTATCAGCTAATTCAACAATTAATTGTACCAAATACTTGAATTTCAATCAGTTAACTTATTAGCTACTAGTTTTTCAGTTAGACGTGCCAAACAAAATCTAAGTAAAATCATATATTAAAATTGTTAATGACCAAGTACACCAAATTATATACTCCGTATTAAACCTAAAAACTACACCAAACTATAATCTCAAACCTATATTCCTATTAGAATTTGGTGCAGTTGGGAATATCTATACTTTAAAGAATGTTTGAACTAAAAGTTTGCCCATTTAAAGATTCTTTTGATTCACCTAACTAACCTCATTATAAAAATAGAGAAAGCATTTCTTGTGAAGAAACTAACTTTCGTTTGACTATCCGATCCGCACAAAATGGAAAAGCAAAGTTGTTGTGAATAGACCAATTTCCTCATTATGCAAAAGTTTGGGTTATAAAACTTTTATGTAACGTATTTGTGTTTAATATATAAATAAATCCTTGTTAACGCCTGTTACAATCGATCCGATGAATATTAAAAATAAAAAATAAAAATTATTGACACTTTAAGATGTTAATATTAACAAATAAAATGAGAAAAGAATTTTTTTTTTAAAAATTGTTTATTAATTAACTAAGAGTTTTTATAAAATTGATTAGTCGTGTCTCAAAAAAGTAAAATAAAAAATTAGTTAGTCGAACTCCTGTGTGGGGGCTTTGACTCTTTATCTTTTTGTAGGTTGAAAAAGTATATATGTACAGATATTATTACATTGTAATAAGATCAATAGTTTTCAAAAAAAAAAAAATATGTGATATTACATTTTGTTAATTATATTCCGTATATTTTTTTTTAGTATCACTAACTCTGTTGCAATATAGTATGTCCATAACTACTTTCTCAACCTACTGAAACACAAAAAGTCAATATCAACCCTGGGGATCAAACTCATGACCTCCCATTTAAGAATGGCATACTCCGTATACTTGTTTTGTTTTATTTTAAAAATAAAATGGAATATTGTAAATCAGGTCCTCGTGTAGTCAATCATTATGCCATGGATCATAGTCTGTCTTGCAAAGTAGACCACTGATATAAGGTTCATTTTTAAGAATGTTCAATTTTTAAGATTTATTGTTAATATATTGAATGTTTATTTTTTTGGTATACTACCTAAAAATGAATTTTTAATATATTAAAAATTAATTTTTAGTATACTAAAAATAAACATATGTCAATAGTTAACATTGCATTGTGAACCACATAGTATAATTTGCCTCATGTGGTAGATCTGAACCCAAAGGTCGCACTGAACAAATTACACTTGTTGATCATTGTCAATATTACAATGTGGATTATTGATAAATAATCATTTTTAATTAGTATATTAAATATGAATTTGTTTATACATATTTGGTACGATGTTGTTGTAATTGACTATAGCCTAATTCTTTGTGGAGCACAACTACGTTGTTTTGTTAGATATAATTGTAATTCTCTCATTTTGTGGAGTTGAAATTCATATGGCTCCTCCCATGATTACGATTCAGTGGTGGATGAAAAAAAAATTACAACATTATCCTTGATTATTATTATTGTTATTATACAACGGCATTTTAATATTTATATCACTTATTTCTAGTAATTCTATTCATATTTACTAAATAATTTGAATACATACTTTATTCAAACATTATTCTTTTCTCATGAAATTATAATTTCTTTTATTTTTACTTTAATTCCTTATTTTAAACCAAACTCATTGTTAAGTGATTTATATTGCAATGTAAATCATATGTCTATAGACTATAATATATAACCCAACAGGGTAATTTAAGTGACAAATGAGCTCTTTTTGTGGGAGAGAATTTTAAAATAACTCGGGATGATTCCCTTTGGATCAACTCTTGTATCTCATGGAGCGAACGGAGATTAGTCAATCGTTATGCTATGGACCCGTGTCCAGCATGCATGCTGGACAGGGGTAACAGTGATGTTAGGCACTGTTATCTTTTTTTTTTTTTTTTTTTTTTTTTTTTTTTTTTAATTTCAGACCGCTTCGTTATAGGAGTATATGTTCATAATTTTATTACTATATGTTCATAATTGTAAGTTCATAATGTCAAAGCTCTATGTTCATAATTCCATAACTGTACATTCATACTTCCATAACTGTACATTCATAATTCCGTAACTGTACATTCATAATTCAATAACTGTAACTTCATAATTTTCGAAGTTCTATGTTCATAATTTTATCACTATATGTTCATATTGTAAGTTCATAATGTCAGAGCTCTGTGTTCATAATTTCATAACTATATATTCATAATTGCATAACTGTACATTCATAATTCCGTAACTGTACATTCATAATTCAATAACTGTAAAATCATAATTTTCAAAGCTCGATGTTCACAATTTTAGAGCTCTATGTTCATAATTTTATCACTATATGTTCATAATTGTAAGTTTATAATGTCAGAGCTCTGTGTTCATAATTTTACAACTTACATTCATAATTCCATAACTGTACATTCATAATCTCATAACTGTACATTCATAATGGCACAAACGAATAACGCCGTTAACGACGTTAACAGCGAGACAAAATAAAAAAAAAATAAAAAAAAAATAAAAAAAACTGAAATGACGCGTTTTCCCTGAAAACAACGTCGTTTTAGACTCATGTCTACAATGCATTGTGGACACGAGCCACTGCATAATTTGCGAAGATTAGTCGGGTGGACCTGAAATAGACTATAATATAACGATTGGTCGCAACTTGTTTGGGACGTTTTCGGAATTAATTAAGTTGACTGTGACACGGTTTGCAGGCAATTGGATGGGCTTAAGTGGGCCAATACTAATTAATGTTTGACTGCTAGACTTTTCCCGCACGCAGGATTGCTGATAAAGATTTACGTTTGATTCACGAAAAATATTTAAAAGATAATAAAATTAAAATTTTATATAAAAAAGGAAATTATTTAGAAGATGGATTTTATTATTGGTTAGTGAGAAATAAATTATTAAAAATAAGAGTTAATACCCAAAATCGTCCTCGACTATAGTGGTTTTTCCCAATTTCGTCCTAAACGACTTTGGTGACCTAATATCGTCCCAGACTTTTGTGTTTCACTCAATTTAGTCCTCCATTTGTTATTCTGTCAAATTGGTGTTAAGTTAAGGGACAATTCAGTAATGTTAATATTGATCTCTCTTTACTTTCAACTTGTCAAGTGCAAAATTCCTCTTTCTTGTACGAATTACACCCAGATTTACTCCCGGACCTGCAAATCAAATTTTATATTTGCAGTTTTAGGAGTAATTCGTAAAAAAAAGGGATTTCGCAGTTCACATGTCTATGAGTAAAGAGATGTCAATATTAAAATTACTGAATTGTCTATTTATTTAACACCAAATGGACAGAATAACAAATAAGGGACTAAATTGAACAAAAACACAAAAATCTGGGACTAAATTGAGCGAAACACAAAAGTCTGGGACGATATTAGGTCACCAAAGTCGTTTAGGACGAAATTGAGAAAAACCACTATAGTCGAGGACGATTTTGGGTATTAACTCTTAAAAATAATATTAATTTCATTGTTTGATTATATTGAAATTATAATGACTAATAACGTAACTATAAAGATTAATATCTCCCTAAGTAATTAAAAACGTTTAATTTATACTTAGGTAATCAAGAAAGTTTAATGAATGTAAAATAGTCATAACATATATGTTATATTTTCTTTCCGCTTGTTGTGAAAAAACAAAGGGATAAGGGTCAAATAAGCCTTCTAACTACATTGATTTGAGCAATTAAGCCCTTTAGCTTTAAAAAGCTCCAATTAAACCCTTGAACTCAAACAAATTAAGCAATTAACCACTTTTTACCTGTTTTTGCAAGTTATTTACAGGTTATTGCCAAGTCACCTTTTTTATATTATTATTTTGAATTTTTTATTTCATTATTAAAAATATTCCGTATTTTAACTCCCGTTGCCAACGCCGGTGGATTTGCCCGTCGCCGCTGTTGACCCTTCTCCTGTATGCGTACATGTTGTTTTATGAAGTATGAACATCACATGAGCTTATCGCCCACTGCCTTTTCTTCCTCTCCTTTTGAAAACCAACAATCTCCTCTCTGTCTCTCTGTAATATATACACACATTCAAGAGTTAGAAAGAGACCAACCCTCCAACACAGATTATACATTATACATACAACAATAAATATATATATATATATATATATATATATATATATATATATATATATTGTTGGGAAACATTCTCGGCAAAGGCTTCAAGTGAGATCCCTATTTTAGTGGATCATCTTTTAATTTGTCTTAACAAATTAATCAAACAAATTAAGTGGCCAGCATTGGTTGCATGATGCTTGGCCATACAAAGCCTAATCTCATGCTGATTGTCCATACACTGCCTAGAATGGTGGTAATGTGTAAGAAGTGCACAAGCCATTATAAATAAAGTTTTGGCAGTGTCACTTAATGCAGAACAAGGAAACAATTTACTCCAACACGAAATTCCTAGTCCCTAAGTTCTGAAATTAAGCTGTTTATTTGTTTCTGTGCTATCAGTCGAAGATATAACGATACCCTGGTCGTTAAATATCTTTAAGATAGTGTTGCCAAACACGACACAGAACGCTGTCGGTTTCCTGTCCCGAAGCAACAACACGTCGCAAATATCCATTCCAGGTATTCATCGCACCTATTTTACCCAACAGTTAAAGATATTTAAAATCAGGGAGGCGATGTATACTGCAACGAAGCCAGCTTCTGATGTCACACCCATCAAAATTCTCACCGGCGGTATGAACTACAAACGATGGGCTGCAAGGATCATCATGCTGCTGGAAGAGAAGGATGTTGACTACGTGATTTATGATGATCCCACCACCTTCATCCTGACTGCTACGACCGCGGCCACGACTGCGACCGCCACTACTGCCATAACCGAGGCAGCTGACAAGTCGGGCAAAACAGCTGACCAATCGGACAAGGCAGCTGATCAAGTTCCTGCACCGAGGCCTGTACGAAGCACGTCGCAAGTCTGTCCAAAATATGTGAAAGACAACAAAACTGCGCGGGCCTCCATTCTTCAACGGGTAACAAATTCTATTTTTGACATGTTTTCTGGGGAAAAATCTGCAAAAGCTGTCTGGGAACAATTGCAAGAAAAATATGGTTCCAATGACACCAGTAGGAGGAAGTACGTCGTGGGACGATGGCTGCATTTTCAGATGACCGAATCCAAAACCGTGGTGGAACAGGTACATGACTTCGAAAATATGGTTTCTGATATGCAAACTGAAGGTGCTCAAGTCAACGATGCATTCCTGATCGAAGCACTTGTTGATAAGTTGTCCGGGTCGTGGGTAGACTTCAAAAGTAAAATGAAACACGAGTGACGCAACTACACCCTTCAAGAACTTATCAGTAGCATCAACATTGAAGAGGAAAATCGCACGATACAAAAATCTGAATCCTTTTCTTTCAACTCAAAGGCTAACATTGTTGAGACAACAGGAAAAGATGATAGGCATAAAAAAGGTGATCAAAATAAAAATAAAAAAAGGAATGCGAAAAATAACAACAATCGCATCAAAAATGGAAAAATTCAGAAAAAGGGCAAGAGCGACAAGTGCTATGTTTGTGGGAAACGTGGACACCGAGATGCACAGTGCTATCATCACAAAGGGTCCACAAATAAAAATTCAGAGAAAGACGGATCCAAAAATCAAGCAAATGTGGTAGAAACCACGGAGGATGACGAGGCCGTAGCAGCAGTGATTACTGAGATTAACATGGTCGGAGACCCAGACGAGTGGGTCGTGGACACGGGGGCATCTCGCCACTTTTGCAACAACAAGTCTTTTTTCAAGGTGTTCGAGCCCGTCACTGGAGGAGAACAAGTCTTCATGGGAAACTCCAGCATTTCTGAGGTAAGTGGTAGAGGAAAAGTAGAGTTATTGCTTAATTCTGGCAAGAAGTTATTACTGAACAATGTGTTGTATGTTCCCTCTGCGTAGAAACTTAATTTCCGGGGGCCTACTTAATACGGCCGGGATCAAAATTGTCCTTGAGTCAGACCGATTGGTTATGACTCGGTGTGGGACTTTTCTTGGAAAAGGGTATCTACGGGGGGGGGGGGATTATTTGTGTTAGACATATCTGTAATTGGACCAGAATCTATCAATAAGAATAATGCTTCCCCTTTGGCTTATATTACTGTTTCAGTTAATTTGTGACATGGTAGATTAGGACATGTTGGCTCAAAGTGCTTAAATAGATTAAAAAGCCTGAATATGTTGCCAAACTTGTCTAATGATGCATGCTCCCAATGTGAAACTTGTGCTGAAGCAAAATTTGCTAGGAAGCCATTTTCTACGGTAACTCATGAGAACTTCATCTATACTTGAATTGATTCACTCTGATCTAGCGGATTTTAAAACCATTGAAAGTAAAGGTGGAAAACGGTATTATATAACTTTTATAGATGATTATTCTCGTTTTACAAAACTATACCTCTTGAGAACAAAAGATGAAGCTGAACACAAATTTGTGATTTTTAAAACTGAGGTAGAAAATCAGTTAAACTTGAAAATAAAGAGGCTTCGTTCAGACAGAGGTGGAGAGTATGAATCTTTATCGCTAAAAACCTTATGTGAAACTTCGGGTATAATCCATGAAGTAACTGCACCTTACTCTCCCCAACAAAATGGCATCGCTGAAAGGAAAAATAGAACCCTTAAAGACATGATTAACGCAATGTTGATCAGTTCTAGGGCACCAGACTCTATGTGGGGGGGAAGCTGTTCTAACGACGAACCACATTTTAAATAGAGTCCCACATAAAGGGTTCGAAAAAACCCCTTATGAGATGTGGAAAGGGCATGCCCCGAATCTGAAACACTTTAAGGTGTGGGGATGCTTGGCTAAGGTGGGTCTACCATCCCTGAAAAGGTCCAACATAGGACCCAAAACCTTTGATGCTATTTTTGTTGGATATGCCGAGAATAGTGCAGCATATAGGTTTATGTGTCTAGAAAACCGTTCTATGTGTGAATCAAGAAATGCAATATTCTTTGAACATATCTTTCCTTTAAAAAATGCTTATGTCTCACCAGTTGATACTCTGTGTCAAAATGATAATGCCAATTTTCCTCGTATTACTAACGATTTGGATGAGCCCAGAAGAAGCAAAAGACCTAGGATAGAGAAGAATTTTGGTTCTGACTTCATAACATATGTCACAAAACTAAAAGATTTAAATGAACTGTGTGATCAGTTTGTGTGCCAATTAGTATTGGAAGAAGAACAAAAAACGTTTAAAGAAGCAATGCAGTCAGTCGACTCCATTCTGTGGAAAAAAGCAATCAAAAGTGAATTGGACTCTATTCAGTCCAACCACACCTGGGAGTTGGTAGAACTACCCAAAGGGTGCAAGCCAATTGGTTGCAAATGGATCTTCAAAAGAAAACTTAAACCAGATGGGTCTATTGAAAGGTTCGAAGCCAGGCTAGTAGCCAAAGGCTTTACGCAGAGATTCGGTCAGGATTATTTTTGCACATACTCACCAGTGACAAAAGTGGGAACCATTCGAGTTCTATTTGCATTAGCTTCTTTACACAACTGGATAGTTCACCAAATGGACGTAAAAACTGCATTCCTCAATGGTGAATTAGAAGAAGAGATCTACATGGAACAACCACCTGGTTGTGTTGATCCAGGGCAATAAGGAAAGGTATGTAAATTAAAAAGATCTCTTTATGGCCTAAAACAGGCCCCCAAGCAGTGGAATGAAAAATTTCACAAGACCTTAATGGGCCTAGGCTACACGACTAACCGGTCAGATGCCTGTTTGTACTCAAAGGAGGTCCAATCCATCATTGTAATAATATGTCTCTATGTGGATGGCATGTTGATTTTTAGCTCAAGTATTGAGCCTATAAATGAAACCAAACGAACTCTTTGTCAACAGTTTGAAATGAAGGATCTAGGAGAAGCCGATGTGATACTCGGGACAAAAGTCACAAAAACCAATACATGTTACCTTCTATCCCAAGGTCACTACACAGAAAAACTTCAGAAGAAGTTTGACAGTTATGATGTTGTTCTGGCTAAGACTCCTTACGATCCTAGTGTCAAACTACTGAAGAACATGGAGTCAGGTATGTTTCAAGAAAAATATGCAAAAGTAATTGGGAGCCTAATGTTCTTGATGAACTATACACGTCCCGACATTGCATTTTCCGTGAATAAACTTAGTCGTTTCACTCATAACCCTGGTGGCCCTCACTGGGACGCACTAAAAAGGATACTCCAGTATCTTAGAGGCACGTTAGACTGGGGTCTCAACTTCAAAGGATACCCAACTGTGCTAGAAGGGTTCTGTGATGCGAACTGGGTAAACGACAGTGATGATGTCAGTTCCACAAGTGGATATGTGTTCACACTATGTGGGGCTGCTGTGTCATGGAAATCAACCAAACAATCGTGCATAGCCAGATCAACTATGGAAGCAGAGTTCATAGCTATAGATCTGGCTAGCCAAGAGGCCGAATGGCTAAGAAATCTGTTGGCAGACGTGCTGCTGTGGGGGAGTCCTGCTCCCGCCGTACCCATTAATTGTGATTCTCAAACTGCTATTTGTGTGGCACAAAATAGTGTCTACAATGGAAAGAGAAGACACATTAGAGTCAGACATGAGTCTGTACGGCAGTTAATATTGAATGGGGTAATCACAATGGAGTTTGTGAGATCTGAAAGGAATATAGTTGATCCTTTCACGAAAGGCCTAAATCGAAAGGCTATCCTTGATACATCAAGGGAGATGGGCTTAAAAGCCAATGAGGTGAGAAATTCATGATGGATACCACCTCGGTGGTCAAACGAAATCATGGAAAGACTCGCATTTATAAGCAGACTGTAAATCAGTCCGCACGCCGTTGGTAGTCAACGGTAAAGTACACTTGGTGGAGTGGAATGTCTGTGCTGAGACAGACAAAACAGGGTTAATACATGGTTATCCAAATAACTATACAAAGTGTATAACAAATGAAGCTAATGAGGTGCACATAAGTTCAAAATTCAACTAGCCGAAGAGTTCAAGACTCTGTTCACTCTCGGATAGTGGATTACTTAGTGCCACCACTTGTCAGTTCAAGTTTAACACACTGACATGAAAGCTAGCTCTTATTTGTTACGCTCAGCTGCTTTCCGTTAAGCGTTACACCTTTGAATGTGTGGGGGATTGTTGGGAAACATTCTCGGCAAAGGCTTCAAGTGAGATCCCTATTTTAGTGGATCATCTTTTAATTTGTCTTAACAAATTAATCAAACAAATTAAGTGGCCAGCATTGGTTGCATGATGCTTGGCCATACAAAGCCTAATCTCATGCTGATTGTCCACACACTGCCTACAATGGTGGTAAGGTGTAAGAAGTGCACAAGCCATTATAAATAAAGCTTTGGCAGTGTCACTTAATGCAGAACAAGGAAACAATTTACTCCAACACGAAATTCGTAGTCCCTAAGTTCTGAAATTAAGCTGTTTATTTGTTTCTATGCTATCAGTCGAAGATATAACGATACCCCTGGTCGTTTAAATATCTTTAAGATAGTGTTGCCAAACACGACACAGAACACTGCCGGTTTCCTGTCCCGAAGCAACAACACGTCGCAAATATCCATTCCAGGTATTCATCTCACCTATTTTACCCAACATATATATATATATATATATATATATATATATATATATATATATATATATATGTATATATGTATATATATATATATGTATATATGTATATATATATATATATATATATATATATATGTATATATATATATATGTGTATATATATATATACATATATATATATATATATATATATATATACATATATATATATATATATATATATATATAGAGAGAGAGAGAGAGAGAGAAAGAGATTTTGCATACAATCAAGTGTGTATATCTACACGAATCAATCTTGAGATTGATTTGTAATATCTGAAATGCTTCCGGATCCACCGGAGATGTCTGTTTTGCTTCAAAGACTACCGCTCTGTGACGACGCTCCACCCGGAGGCGGGCGGCGAGGATGAGGACGACACCGTCGTGGTGGACATCCCGCCAGGGAACACGCGGGTGGAAACGTGCGTGTTCGTCGACACTATCGTGAAATGCAACCTCTAGTCGTTGGCGCAGATCGTCGAGAGCTCCGGCAACGAAACGCGGCTTGAATGGGCTTACAGGTGTTTCCTCTGGATTTTGCTGGTGAATGGGTTCTTTTCCGACAGCTTTGACGATCGGCGGTGTTTGCCATATTGGATTTTGAAGCTGCTGGAGTTCTTTTAATTTTTTTAATTATTATTATTATTATTATTATTATTATTATTATTATTATTATTATTATTATTATTATTATTATTATTATTATTATTATTATTATTATTATTATTAAGATGCCAAATCAGCTTTAAAATTCTAATCAGCAATAATTTACAGGTTACTTGAAGGTAACCAGCAAAATAGTCTAATTGCATTTTTTTTTTTTTTTGTAAATTTAAGGTTCTAATTGAAGCTTTTTGAAGTTGGAGGGCCTAATTGCACAAATCATTATAGTTAAAGGGCTTATTTGACCCTTATCTCAAAAACAAAATACCAAACTTTGCAAGGAATCTGTTTTCCTCAAATATGAGCAATTCATTTTCCATTGAAAAATGAATTCCATAAACTAAACAACATTTTCCTCAACTTTTAAAAAAATTAAGAAAAAATTTTTCTATCCAACCAAATACCCTCTTAAAGATTTTTCTCATCTGAAATTATATATATATATATATATATATATATATATATATATATATATATATGTCTGTATAATTGATTGATTGCGATGTTAATTTATTATACATTGTGTTTATTCAATTGTACATGTATAAATATTATTTATTTTACCCGTTTTTAATTTCTTTTCTCTAAATTGTTAATATCATTAAATATATTAATTTATGG